TTATATTTATTCTCATCTTTATATACTTTAATCTTTCCAACTCTATTGGTTTGAATCCAGCAGTGGTTCCAAGGGAAAAATATAGACAATCCCTTCCCATGTGATGTATCCACTAAAGGGTCAGCTGTGAGTTGGTTCTGACTCTAGGGCAATGAGCGAATGACTGCTTGAATCACTGGAATACACCAGAACTTGGTCCTCTTTTTTTTCCTGTCTCAACTCTTTCCTTGATGATCTCATATAGTTGTATTGGTTGAGTTTTTTTTACCTCAGACATATTTTTAATTATAATTTGGGTAACAGTTTACAGAAAACAATCAGTTTATAAAACCTCCAACTATTCATACAAATTTTGTTTTAGGACATTAATTACAATACTTGCAAATGTACCACACTCACTGCTTCCTCCTAATGGTCCTTGTTTCCATTGATCTTTTTTTATCCTACACCTTCCTGCCTTCTGAGGCTTGTTTTTACCTGGGCAAGTACTGCCCTTTTGATTTTTATGATTGATTGTTCTAAGTAATGAGTACCTCCTTTGTGTTATTGTTCACTTAATGGGTTTAGAAGGGGTCGTGTACTAGGGATATTGTAGCTAATGTTAGATGGATCTTGGCTGAAAGCAGGGAGTACCAGAGGAATGTCTATCTGTGCTTCATCGACTATGCAAAGGTGGTTGACTATGTGGACCATAACAAACTGTGGCTGACTCTGAGAAGAATGGGAATCCCAGAAGACTTGATCATGCTAATGTGAAACTTATACTTGAACCAAGAAGCAGTCGTCAGAATAGAGCAAGGAAATACTGCATGGTTCAAAATTGGGAAGGGCATATGCCAGGGATGTGTCCTGTCTCCATACCTTTTCAACCTCTATGCAGAACAGATCATCTGGGAGGCTGGGCTCTATGAAGAGAAATGCAGCATCAGGATTGGTGGAAGATCTATCAACAATCAGCATTATGCAGATGACATAACCCCGCTTGCTGAAACTGAGGAGGACCTGAAGCACGTGCTGCTGAGGGTCAGGGACTACAACCTTCAATATGGATTGAGGCTCAATGTCAAGAAGACAAAGATTCTCACCACTGGACCAAATGGCAACATCAGGATGGATGGTGAAGAGATTGAGATTGTGCACAGCTTTAGTCTGCTTGGCTCCACAATCAACACTCTTGGCACCAGCAGCCAGGAAATTAAAAGATAATAGTCTATGTGTTTCCCACTGCCAAAGGAGCCCTTTAGAGTAGTGAGAGAAGATCTTCACCCTGAAACCCACAGTGCCCCTTTTCAGCAGGAAGTAGCTAAGAGAATACGCCATCCCCTTTTCCTTATGAATCAGGGTGAAATCTCTCTCAGGGAGGAGTGATAGGGAATGGCAAAGGACACATTGACAAAGGAGATTAATCAGAACTGGCTTTGACAAGCACTGTGGCAATTGGACAATTAAAACAGACATTCGGGGGGGGAGAAGAACAAACTGGGGAGGAGGGTAGAGAAAACAGTGCAACATTGAATGAATGAAAACCCAAAATCTCTGTAAATGTTCACTAAAACTAATAAAATTTAATAGTAATTAAAAAAAAAAGATATATTGCGATGGGAAAGTCTGCTGTTAGGGTCCTCTCTAAAGTACTGAAGAGCAACGGTTTGTCTCTGGAGACTAAGGTGCATCTGGTACAGGCCATGGTCTTTGCAATCACTTGTTATGCATCAGAGAGCTGGACAATGACCAGGGAGGATAGAAGGAGAATTGATGCTTTTGAGCTTTGGTGTTGGAGAAGAGTGCTGATGGTACCATGGACTGCTAAGAAAACAAACAGATTCATCCTGGAGAGGGTTAAATGGGGCTGCTCCTTGGAGGCAAGGATTCTGAGGCTTCGTCTGACCTACTTTGGTCATGTTTTAAGGAGAGACCAGTCCTTGGAGAAGGACATCATGCTTGGGAGGGTGGAGGGCAGGCGCAGGAGGGGAAGGCCCTCTATGAGGTGGATTGAGTCAGTGACGGGGCAATCGGGATGAGTGTGTCGGAGACAATGAGATTGGCACACGACAGAGCAGAATTTAGAGCTGTTGTACATAGGGTCACTATGAGTCGCAAGTGACTCGACAGCATATAACAACAACAACAATAGTGATATTGTAGGGATCTCTGGTGGCCTAATGGCAAGAAGCTGGTGCTGCAATCCTGAAGTCATGAAGACATGTGGCTCAAGAAGGAGGAGCAATCTTTTCCTGTGCCTGTTAGATCCAATTTGATGGTACACAACAAGGGGAAAAAAAAGGGTGATATTGTTTGAAAGTTGAGTTTTATTGTGGGTTCAAAGGGTGACTAAGAAAGAGCTATAGTCTTAGTTATTCTAACAGTGGATATTAGACTAGCAAGCTTGGCTATTTTTATGTTTTTGAGCTTTGTTCCACATATTTCAGTCCCATCCTGTCTAGGACCTTCTTCTGAGATCCTAGTGGTGCCATCTAGTTCTTCCAGGTTTGTGGTCTTAGAGGTTGATATTCCAGTGGTGTATTATTAGTCTTCTGAACCAACTGCTTCCATCCATCTTTGTTTTTCTTTTCTCTCTTTGTTTTGGACAAGGAGACATCAATAGTTGTACTTTAGGTGGCCGCTCACAAATCTAAGATCCCAGTCACTGTTTGTTAAAGTAGGATATAGAACATTGTCTAAGATGTGATATAATGGTCTTTGACTTCATCTAAATGGCTTTAAATACTATCCATGAAAATAAATCCCTAGTTTATATCCCTAACCCAGACCTTTCTCTTCAACTTGTCTTGAATATCCAACTATGAATAGAAACAGATTCTTTTGGAGAATGAATCAAATGTAACATGTCCGAAACCAAGCCTCATCCTCTCTTTACTTTCCTGCCATTTTCTCCACTCAAAGAAGGGCAACTTCATGCTTTCAGTTCTTCAGGCAAAACACCTTGGAATTGTCGTCCTTTCTTTCTCACACCACCACTTAAACTAATGTCTCAATAAGTCCAAATTATCATAATTTCCTACATGTTCATGTATTTTTTTGCAATAACTTTCCTGCTGATTTTCCTGCTCCCGCTCACATCCCTTCTGTGTGTACAGAAGATTCCAGTGGTTTCTCTTCTCACTTGTATAGTCAAACTACTTACTAAAGAATTTGCCTCTACTGTCCCAGTATCTCTGATTTTATCTCCATTCATATTGCCCCTTTCCTCTCTCCACTCCAGCTGGCCTCTTGTTGTTTCTCAAATAGCCAAGGCACATTCCCACCCTAGACTCTTGAAAGTTCTCACAATGCCACTCCCCCACTACCTCCCCACCTCCGGTCCACAACCCTTATTCCTTCCTTTCCTGGCTCAAATACTACCTTTCAGAAAAGCTTTTCTTGACCACCCACATAAAACTGTATCTATTCCCTTCCTAGCACTTACTGTCTCCCTTGCTCTATATTTTTAATAGGCCTTATCACAAGCTAAAATATTGATGACTTCATTTGTTTATTTTCTTTTGTATCTACTATAAAGTGAACTCTGTCTGGGCATGATGTTGTTTGTAGTTATGTGCCATTGAGTCACCTGTGACTCATGATGATCCTATGTACAGTAGCCCTAAACCCTGCTCTATCTTGTGCCAATCTTATTGTCTCTGACACACCTACCCCATTATTCCAGACACTGAATCAATCCATCTCATCAAGGGTCTTCCTCTCCTGTGCTGTCCCTCCAACCTCCCAAGCATGATGTTCCTTTTCAAGGGCTGGTTCTGCCTTGCAACATATCCAAAGAAGCTTCAGAATTCTTGCCTCCAAGGAGCAGCCTGTCTCACCTCACCGTCTCTAGGACAATTCTCTTAGCAGTCCATGACATATTCAATACTCTTCTCCAATATCACAGCTCAAAGGCATCAATTCTCCTTCTATCATCCCTAGTCATTGTCCAGCTCTCTGATGCATAGCAATTAATTACAAAGACCATGGCCTGTATCAGGCACACCTTAGTCTCCATACTGACATCATTGCTCTTCAGTAGTTTGGAGAGGTCTCTGACAGCAGACTTCCCCAGTTCAATTAATCTTTTAATTTCCTGGCTGCTGGTACCAAGAGAGTTGATTGTGGAACCAAGCAAACTAAAGCTATTAAGAATCTCAATCTCTTCACCATCTATCAAAATGCTGCCAATCAGCCTAGTGGTGACAGTCTTTGTTTTCTTGATGTTGAGCTTCAATCCATATTGAAGGCTGCAGTCCTTGACCTTCTGCAGCAAGCTCTTCAGGTTCTCCCTAGTTTCAGCAAGCAGAGTTGTATCATCTGCATAATGCAGATAGTTGATGAGTCTTCCTCCAATCCTGATGCCACACTTCTCCTCATAGAGCCCAGCCTCCTAAATAATCTGTTCTGCATATAGATTGAAAAGGTATAGAGATAGGACACATCCCTGGTGTACACCCTTCCCAATTTTGAGCCATGCATTGTTTCCTTGCTCTGTTCTGACGACTGCCTCCTAGTCCAAGTATAGGTTTCGCATAAGCACAACCAAGTGTTCTGGGCTTCCAAGTTAGCCACAATTTCTTGTGATTCATTCAGTCAAATGCCTTTGCATAGTCAATGAAACAGACATTCCTCTGGTACTCTCTGCTTTCAGCCAAGGTCCATCTAACATTAGCTTTAATGTCCATATTACCACTGCTTCTTCTAAACCAATCTGCACATCTGGCAGTTCTCTGTTGATGTGCTATTCCAGTCGTTTTTGGGTAATCTTCAGCAGAATCTTGTATGAGATTGTTTGATCATTTCTGCAATCTGTCGGATCGCCTTTCTTTGGAATGGGAAAAAATTTAGATCTCTTCCAGTCAGTTTGCCAGGTGGTTATATTGGCTTACCTACAAAAGTCGTATACATTGTGTTTCATTTATATGCATTGTGTTCCATGCACTCCTACATTCACACTGTGTTTCACATTGTCATTCTCATACATTGTGTTTTATAAAATTAATCACCATTGACCCATGTCCACTATTACTTCTCCTTTTCAGGTTCCCACTAGAACTTTCCTAATTCCTTCACCTCTCTCTGCACATAGCTTTTTGTGTGCTTTCTCCTACTGCAAATAAATGTTTGTTAAACTAAGTTTTATTATTTTCCTTCTCAGATTTAAAAATCAGCTTCTTGACAGTATTAAGGAAATACACCTAATAATAGGAAGTTTCAAGTATATAGTGGGCTTAAGAAAATGGCATACTTCATAAATACCTAGTATTATCTTCTTTTTCTCCACAGCTGAACACCAAAACATCCCCAGCAACCAACCAGGCACCAGGCCCAGAGGAAAAGGGTGAGTGATGTTGGGTTAAGCAATTGACAGAGCAGGTGATATAGGAACATGACAACAAGTAGGACTGTAAAATTGGGAAATCCTAAAGGCACAAGTTGTAGGAATAGGAATGTAATTAAGAGAAACAAAAGACTGTTCTAGAATAGCCGTGTCTATGGCTCTTTCTCCCTTTTTTGTAAGACAAAAATCTATTTGTATTTACTCTTATTTTAGAAATTAACTCTGAGATGATTATGGGAGACAGACCCAAAAATAAGAAGAAACTCATCAGATCATCTCAACCACTGTCTCAGTCAAAGCATGAGGAGATGCTGGGGAGAGTGGGTGCCTTGGGACCTGGAATGTAGAAAGCCATGGTAATAGAAGATACTTGTCATTCTGGGCCTAGAATAGCAAAGCACCCCTGAGGAAACACAGCTAATTTCCACTCAAAGTGCCTGACTTTTAGAAGCATTATCAAGCATTCTTACTCCTAACTAGGGAACCTCATGGAGTCCTGCACAAAGCAGATCTAAACTCTGTCTCTGGGATCTGAAAACTGGTGATGATGAGGTCACGCATATTCATTAATGAGTCTCACAATTGTCTGCAGGGAAAGCTGGCAATGCCAAGAAGGCTGAAGAAGAAGAGGAGATTGACATTGATCTGACAGCACCAGAAACAGAGAAGGCTGCTCTTGCCATTCAGGGCAAGTTCCGGCGATTCCAGAAAAGGAAAAAGGATCCCAGCTCCTGAATGACTGACCAGTCTTGTCCCCTCATCCTGTTCCCTTCGCTCCCCTTTTCCACAGCCCTGACTTCTATGGATCTTTGTCCCTTTGTCCTTGTCCTCTTGAGGCAAATTTAACCCCCATATTTTCTTTGGCCCCCTCAAGCCATCACAGCAGTAGAGGCACAAGGAACTTGGGGAAGATAAAGACTTAGGCTGGTAGCCACTTGCCTAAGGGTTGACCACTTTGACCTTGGGATAGAGGACTTAGACCAGTACCTAAGTCTGCCCTATGGCATTGAAGAGCAAGACTGAAACTGAGAGAAGTGCCCCAAATAATGTGGAAAGAAGGGAAAGCCTTCAGAGTAGGGTACCAGAGGGCAGGGCATATGCACTGTTCTGCCAATTGCGACATCAAAATTCAAGTAATAGTTTCTCCCCTTCACATCCTTCTGCACCACCACTTCCAACATCTCTCCTATGAGTTAGACCACCATGGGGACGAGCCTCCCTTTCCCACTAGGCAGGCCTAAATCAAGCAGCTTAACACAATAGTGCATGCTGAGTAGATTAGTTCCAAGAAAGGGAGACTGGGACTGATAAAAGCAGGGAAATGGTAAGGGGCAGAAGCTGAAGAGTTTGAGGGTGGCGGGGCACAGGCTGGGAAATGTGTACTTGGGGAGATTTGAGGAGGGGAAAGGAGAGGGGAGATCTATGAAGCTACAAGCTACTGCCAGTGAAAGGGCACTACATGTAAGATTCTTGGGACTTTGCTAACCTGCCTACCTCTAACCCCCCAAGTCCAGCCTTCCCCAGAGGCCAAGTAACACAAATCAAGTAACCCTTATTGTCCCCACCTGACCCACTCTGCTGCAGTGGGTCTCAGGACAGAAGTGGAGTAGCCACTCACCTGTGATTTTAGCATGTTTAATAATTATAAAAATAAAAACCCTCTCATGGATCCACTTCACCTCTGTGTCTGTTTTTCTTGTGAACAATATGTATGCAAGCCTGAGCTGCCTTCAGGCACAATGGATGAGGAACACCTGGGTCATACTGTAGCTCAGGATAAATAAGAACCTGAGCAAGTTCAGACTGAAGCCCACCCCTGACCTTGCTCTCACCTTGAGTCCCTGCCCACACTGTTTTCCTCTGCTGCTGTCACCACCCCCACGTGCACCTGCAAGAGTGCACATCTCCCCTCTCCCTTTCCCTCCCAGCTCGGAACACGCTTGGAACAGAGCCCTCTGAAAACAGCCCTAATCAGCCTTTGTTCTCTATTCTCAGATGACCTAACCTAGATATCCTTCTTGCTTTATTTCCGCTTTCATATCCCCCTCCCCTGCCTTCCCACTGTTAATTATAATCAAATTCAGGGAAAGAAGAAGAAGATTCTGGGCCAACAGAGAGCACCACTATCGCACTGCAGATTTTAAATTATGAAATAAAATGTTGGTTTTCAAATGAGCTAACATTACTGGGAAATGGCCTGTATATGTTGAATCCAGGCACCAAAGGTTTGATGGGGCAGGGAATGCTATCTCTTCCCTCCTCCACTTCACTGTATTTACCTTTCCCTTCTTGATTTAAGATTACTGGGGTTGAAACCAGGTAACAGCTATGAATAGGAAATGAAGAACATTATCTTGTATTCCAAAGTTTACCCATGTTACTTAACAAGTCTGTGCCACAGGATACTAAGGGAATTAAGTAGTTCAAAGGAGAGCCTTGTAGTAAAAGATGTCAGAGAGAGAAAGGTATATCAACTGTTAGACTAGGCATCTGAGTGCAATATAATGATGGTGAACTTTAGTCCTGATCTCAAGGATAGAGGAAATAACAACCTCATTTTCATATCTGGTTATCCAATGTGCCCTGGTAAAATAGAAGTACCTCCTGTTTCCTTGTTCCATGGACAAGCAATGGAGATTAACTGTCCCTCTGAAAACTCTAGTGGCCTACCTAGTCCATAGAGAGTTGAGCTGCTAACCCAAAAAAATTCACCTCTCTGGAAGTTTGAATCCACCTGTGGTTCCACAGGAGAAAGATGGGCAGTCTGCTCCTCTGTAATTCATAGATTCTAAATCCCTCCAGAGAATCAGCTCTAAGTTGGTTCCAACTCCACAACAATGAGTTGAGTTCTGAACACTAAGATGCTGTCCATTCCTAGTGATGTGGCTTTTGAGAGTTGGCTGGCACTGAGGCAGTGGTAGAGAGCTCAGCCACCAACCTGACTTGTAGGCTCTCTGTACGCAAGATAACAGCTGATTCCTCCCCTCTTCCCCCCACCCCTCCACATACACACTGATCTGGAACATAGTGCTGAGATATTTTATCCTTATCTCATGTTCCAAAAGTGTACTTGTTCTTATACACATTTTAGGAAAGAACATGATAGCAAAAATATAGTCTTGCTTTTGGAGATTTCCAATTGTAGGAAAAAACCGCCTCAGGCAACTTTGCTCAGTCTGTGGTAAATTCTCATTAAGGATTCTGAAAGCTGATTTCTCCCTGCCAGGCTGCTTACTCTTACCCAGGGGCTTTGGAACGTAGCCTATTCCCTCTGGCATCCCTGTAATTACTCCTTGAAGCACTGGGCTTGAACTGGCATCTCCTGGAGAAGCCCTGGGACTTGGACTGCTGTCGTAGACTGGATTCTCTAGAGAAACACAATTTATATGCCCAGAAATAGACATTTATTTCAAGGAAATGACTCACATGAATGTAGCCTGGCACATCTATGGGTCAGACCCCAGGAGAGACGTTTCTCCAAACTCATGCAGCTGTAGAGGCTGACAAGTTCAAGGAGAGCAGGTAAGGTAGACTGCAAAGTCTAGCGAACCAGAGATGCTGAGCCAGATCCATATATATTCGTTTGTCCCTCTAAAACTTCTTTCAGCTTATAGACTTCCCAGAGCAGATCTTATCATGGACGTGATCACACTGTGTAAGGTCTCATTGAGGAAAATATTATATCACGCCAGATCTCATCAAGGGAATAACAACATCATAACCACCAAACTAGAAAATCATAGGCACCAAATTGACACACAGCCTTACTCACTAGTATCTCCTCTTTGGGCCTAAGAACTCTGTTTCTCTTCCCTGTCCTTCTAATAACTGATGTTTATCATTTAATATTAATCACTGAGGAATTATTCTTGAGCCCTTCATTTAGCATAGCAAAAACTGGAAGCTGAGATCCAAGATGGCGGCAGAGGCAGAGACAGCATGGTGAGCTGCGGGAGCAGTGAACCACTTAAAGCAGGGTGATTATGGCCTTCCACAGACTTCGGCTTATTGATAATTGAACACTTAAACAGTTGAGGACTGGCCCTCAGTGAAGATCGAGGCTCAACAGCAGGAATTCAAGGATTCCCAAGGAGAAATGGGGGAGTCTCATGGCTCCCAACCCCCCCTCCCCAAAGAGCCCGTGCTGCACCGAACAGCTGCTGCAGCTCCATGAGGCTTCCACAGCTGGATCAAATGGATTCTCTCACCCAGGATGGATGCTGGGCACTGGCCCTCCTCAAGAATGGTACAGTGAAGCCACCACACTGCCGCAAGGTGGACTTGGTCTGGAGAGAATTCTTGGAGCCAGGATGGCAGCTGTGGGGGAGGCGGGCGCTTGCCAGCCGCCTGCTCAAGAGGGACCCAAGGGACCCCGCACCCACCGAGTGCCCGTGCAGTGGGGGGGGGGCGCGTGCCCCCAATGGCCACCCGTGCTGGGGGGCCCACACACCTCGCACGGAGGGGCGGCCCACACCCTGCTGGCCGCCCGGGTAGGAGGTGGGGGATGGGATGCATGCCC